TTACCGTAATGGCAAGATGCCAAATCCGGCCAAAACAGTACGGAACAACCGTGTTTCTTCAGGAAAGGCAGCAGACGTTTATTCAAACACTCTTTCACGTAAATTTCTTGGTTGACAGTCCCGGAAGCTATGAAAATGCTGCTTTTCAAGCCACAGGTACAGATGGCTTGCCAAACCAGATATTTCTTTGCGAACTTTGACAGTTTCATGTGCTTGAAAACATCTGCTACCTTTCCCCTTCCTTTTGCCGTATAAAACTCCTGTCCCGGAAGCTGCTTGTAGTCGGCTTTGACGTAGGTTTCGTCGTCCATTACCACGCAGTCAAACTTCGTCAGCATCGTCGTGTACAGCCTCCGGGATCGCGCTTTGGCCGTCGTATTTTGTTTATCATCGCGATTTGGAGTCACTACCTTCTTGTAAGTCGATAGTCCGGCTCGTTTTTTGGCTCGATGCACGGTTGTAGACGATACACCCAGCTTATTTGCGGCATCTCGGAGAGAGAGGTTAGGGTTTCGCTTGAAGCTACCGGCAACTCTCTTTGTCGTCTCAGCGGCTTCCGGTTTTCGATTCCCTCCCGATCCAGACTTCCTGGCTGTCGACAAACGTTCCCCAAACACTTTAATTACATTTGTAACGGTTGATTTGGCAACTTTTAGCGATTTTGCCAACTTTGCGTGCGAGTAGCTCGGATTTTCGCGATGCGCGAGCAAAATTTTGATACGCTGCTCTTCTTGCTTGGACGGCATTTTGACAACTGAAGAGTGAATTCCAAAATCAAAATAGGAGCAACATTCTACACACACACACCTTCAAAATGAGGGGTGTTCAGGTTTTTTAAATGCAAAATTGAAAGAAATACGTCAAGTTGATATTGACCAAATTTTGACCGTATCACCCTTTAATGTGCCATTAAAAGTTATGGACCGCGGTTTGCAATTACTAGGTTTTAATAAAGATTTCAAAATTTTCCATAACTCTTTGCTGTTGTTTTGATGTTGATCAATCTTCCTTTGAACATATTCACAACGAGTTTTCATAGCGAATCGATTGTGAATACTTATTACGCGCGATTGTGTACCTATTCCAATGATTGTCTTTATTTGATCTACAAAACTTTTTGTACCATTTGTCCCTTTTCCGTTTAACACGCAAAACATCGAAATTGTACCAGCCTCGGTACCAGCTGTTCGAGTTCTTCAAAGAACAAACTTTTGCTCAACTAGTTGATTAGTATACGTTTTCAAAGCGTTATTAAGAACAGCTGTAGATTCATCTAAGTTACCAGCCGCGAATGGAAAATCCACGCTCCTCTCAACAAGATTCGAAACAGCTTGCTTCGAATGTTTCCTCCAGCACTTCAATTTTACAAAATTATCGTTATCGTTAACATGGTCTAAGACATTAATCAGTAAAGTCTCATGATCGGTTATTTTCAAATCAGTATCTGTAACTGAACAAATGGAATCAAAATTGGAATAAACGTGGTCAATTAAAGTTCTACTGTGCCTGGAAATACGCGTATATTCATTTACCGTTTGCTTTAAATTAAAAAAAAAACTCTGCTAAACGCTTCAAATGATTCGAATTATGGTTATCACGCCAATTAATATTAAAATCACCAGCCAATATATTTAATTTACTAGAATCAAGGAATGTCTGGAGCCAGTTCTCTAAAACTTCAACAAAACGCTGGCCACTAGAACTGGGAGAATGATACAAAACACCATAATTACCCATCTTCATGCCACGTACAACTGTAATGCCCAAGAACCAGTTGCCATCAATAACTTCGTTGGTACGAAGGTTGAATTGAACTGATTCTTTGACATAAATAGCAACACCGCCAGTGTGTCTAGAATGTGAAAAAACAAGCAGCAACAATATATCCCGAAATACTATACTGATCAAAAGCTTCGGTTTCTACAATATGGGTTTCAGATAATAAAATTAAAAGAGGACGTTTTTCCTCAACAATCTGACGTAATGCTACATAGTTTGTTGACAACCCCGCAATATTCAAATACAAAAAATCGAATTGATTCACATTCCTGGAACTTGACTGCTATTTATTGAAACGCATGCATCAAATTCTCCACATTTGAAGCATCTCAGCACATTAATAGCGGGAACTATCGAGCACCGATCAAACCCTACATATACATTTTTTGGAACATAACAAACATTTATACGTATCGACATCGACTTCAATTACAACACTAAACTTGTTATAAGTGATAAGAGATGAGCTAGCCTATGGTTAAAAATCTCTATAATAAAGAAAAAAAATAAAAAAATGTTATAAGTGAAGCGTGGATTTTCAAACATGTTCACTACTTTTACATCATTAATAGCGATGTCTTTATTTTGACTTTTTAAGTAGTCAATGAAGACATCGGAGGAAAATTGATCGTTCTTGCCCACTATTTTCAATCTTGACACAGAAGTGGGAACAACAGCACTATATTTTTCACTCAGATTGCTTTCAATACCATTTTTCACATAATTTAGATTAGCTCCTGTTGCACACTCAACAATATTGGAGCCATCTTTACTGCCGCTCTTCCCATGTCGGTCCCATAGTTGTTTTTGTCAAAACTGAGTTTTTCAATGCAAATGCTAGATAATCACGCGATACGAAGCAAACTTAAAACGTGATTTTCTCGGCTTACTGATTTTCGCTATGGGACGGACATGCGAATAGCGGCAGTTTACCATTCCTGAAATTATTGATTTTGTGTGTTTTTGGATCTAACTGTGTTTTCAAAAACTTACGAGTATCTTCGCAAGCTTGTTTGGACTTCTTTGGTTTGATCACAATGACCGGACGAGTCTTACGATTAATCGTTAATCGAAGAATTGGACTTTTAGGCATCGATAGAAAATAGTGTGATTTCATGTTTTTTGATAGTCCTTCGAGAATGTCGAACAGCAGAATTGCAACCAGCAAGTGTAGCCCAAGTACCAAAAGCGGTGCAATGCTAGTTTTCATTTCTATGACGACGACTGAATTAAGGGTCTTAGAAGCAGAGGGGTGAAAGTCAATAATTCTCTTCGTCGATTTCCTCTTTTGATGACCATGGCACTAACCTATTTCGCACTATTTCTGCTATGCTCTTCTATCATCCAGAACACCAAACGTATCAATGAATGTGTTTGTTTCCGTCGATTTATTAACGAAACAGAAAGTCGATGTAGAGAATCGATCAAAATCACTTGCACCCCAGCTTCCAAGTTTGGTTACAAGATTACAACTATGGAGAGCATTTTATGTGTTCGTTGGGGGCGTGTGGTTCTGAATATGGCAATTCGTGAGCAAAATGTTACGCAATTGCATCCTCCCTATTCGCACACGCTCGAAGATCGGAGGCGAACGCCACTTCGACTTGTTTCGTCTACTAACGACTCTCTGATGACAGTGTTGGGGAAGCAGCAATGCTACATCAACATGTTTCGTCTAGAAACGATTCTCTGATGGCTGTGTTGGGGAAGCAGCATATGCATGTATGTAATTGGTGAATTTGTTAATTATTTCGACGATTTTGGACAATGCTTGACATTTACAACTTTTTCAATAGTTTCTTGTTGAAAATCAACAATCAAAAACAAAGCTATCGATGCGAAGAAATATTTATGATCGATTGTTGATAAAATTATCGAAATTGGTCCAGGGGTAGCTGAATTATTAACGTTCAAAATCTTTCATAATTTCGTTACATGTTTCATTTTCGATTTTCACAAAGTGTAACCCCATGTAGAAATCACAGACGTAGTCTTACGTCAAAAAATTTAACAGGAACAATTATGTTCTGTACAATAAAATAAATTTCAGAAGTACTGTCTATTTACTGCTATATTTTTTCAGTCTTTTGAATAACTGATTTTTTACCAAAGCAGCTGTTTCAAAACGTGATTTCAGCTGTTTGAAACGTGATACAGTCATTTTTTTTTTTTTTTTTTTTTTTTTTTTTTTTTTTTTTTTATTATAGTCACTTTAACACTCTTGGGTCATTCGTGACTTGTCCGGAGGTGAGATTTGAACTCGTGACTTTGGCGTGAGAGGTATGGATGTTAACCACTACGCCGGGGTCGCCCCCAGATACAGTCATATTTATGAAAGCAATAATGCAAAATTTAAGAATTTAAGTTGAAATATCGATTGCCCCGAATGGACTTAAGTAATATTTTGTTAAGAAAAACTTTAATGGTTATTAAAATCAAGAAAAACATTGTGTCATATAAGAAACCAATGGCCATTTATAAAGCTGCTACAGTAATATCAACGATAAGTTATAAGAAACCACTGATAGACCTTATTATCTGATTCAGTTTTGACATTTTGAGCTAGTCTAACATGTTTCGAATATTTGCTCTACAGAAAAGTATTTTGTTAGACTTAAATGAAATTGATAATTGAAGTTGGCTTTAAGCATAAGGCCTGCTTTTTAAGCGGGTGGCAACATTGCCACACTTTTCCCTAATCTTAATTTTTTTTTTTTGCAAGGCGTGTATAGTGTTAGCATGCGTGGGCGAGCTACCAGTTACGCCAAATCGACGATCAAATGCATTGTTTACAAAAGCTGATACGTCGCTTCGAAAAAGTAGTCGAGAATTTTAGATCTCGGACATTTTTTTTAAATTATAGGCTCAGAAATGTTTCCAGGATTGTTGGGTCTACAAAATGTTTAAAAAAAAACTGATTCTACCTGCCCTCCTAGCTACGCCAACATATACCATCACGGACTTTGTGAAAACTTAAATAAACTCAGTGCACCGTGAGTTTCTCAAACCAAATTTACAGTTACTGAACGAATACTTATAGCAAAAAAGCATAAAATATTATGCCAAATATACATTATGCAATTAATTCATTATGTCTAACGTACGCATGCCTATCGTCCGTGTTTTCATGCCCAATGTGGTATATCATTCCTAAATAACTTGTTATTGTTATCCTTATTCTAACTTGGTTACTCCGACCTAGTTAAAAAAACAATACTTACTGTTTTCAACTGACGATGAACTGGTTTCCACCGATGGCGCTCCAATTTTCAACCAGTCTTGTCCAAGTAATCTTGTTATCTGTTCATTATCCAGACCAGGCTTTATGTTGTCCGGAAATTCATATGTATCAATTGAAAAATCTTCTTTGGTACATTCACCACTTAGTAGAGTAGAAATTAAAAATGGTGGACTCATCTTTCGTAATGTGAAAAAATCTATACCTTCCAAGAATTTGTGATTTCGTATACTATCGTACGGTGAGCTGTCTTGAACGCCTATTCTATTCTGGGGATTCAATACGAGTATCTTCCCGATGAGGTCAGCAGCGACATGGTCAAAATCATTCGGAAACGTAAGATCTAGCTTTGTTATTTTTTGAAATATTAGGTAATCATTAGGTCCTTGGAAGGGTGGGAATCCGGCTACCATTTGATACACCATGCATCCAAACGACCACAAATCTGATGCAACAGTTGAATCTCTTCCCTTGAGGATTTCAGGTGAAACATATTGCGCTGTTCCTACAAAGCTGCCACGTTTCCGATGCGGCTTCGAAGACTGTTCATCGGATTCAGAGGCACTTTCATCTACCTCATCGCTACTAAAATTATCTTTTTTATTGTCGTCTATTCGCGACGAACCGAAATCCGCTATCATAACATGTAATTTCTCATCTAAAAGTATGTTTTCTGGTTTCAGATCTCTGTGTATGATACTATGGGCGTGCATTTGTTCCATTGCATGTAGGATTTGTGCTGAATAATATCTAACACACTCAACATCGAATTTTTTAACTTTCTCCATCAATTGTAATAGATTGCCCTTTCTAGCATAAGTCATCACAAAGTATAACTTTGTAGAATCTTGAAATGTACAAAACAAGTTAAGAAACCCTGGCAATCCACTCAGTCTATTGAGGGCTTCACGTTCACGTTTAACATATTCTTGTTTTCTTTCACGAATAATTTGCTGCTTTTCACAGACTTTGACTGCAAAGACACAAGAAGGTTTGTTTCGCATGATATTTGTAAAAGTTGTGAAATAAACAACCATAAAATAATTACCTGCCCATTCCTTAGACGTATGAATATCTTTAGCTAAATAAACAACGCTGAAGCTGCCTTCTCCTATAAGTTTTCCGAACATAAAGTCGTTGACATTACGCCTAGCTCGGACGTTACTAGGGTATTTATGTTCAATCTGTGAACTAGCACTCATATTGTATCGATTCTTATCGGCTGGTCACAGGACAGGTTTGCATTGAACTATAAGAAGAAAAAAAATGTTATTAGTGACAAGCTGTAATAAAACATAAATTGAATAGATCGTCAAAAGTGCATAGAGGTCTTTGAACGCGAAAAAGAGGTGCAATTACTTCAACTTATGTTTCTTTTAATAAAAACAATGTTTTACTTTTACATTTTTTTTTTATTATTTGTTCAGCCTATGCTTATATAACCGTATCCGAAATAATAGTATTTATTATCACACAGTTACATATTCCCGCCCTGTAAATTATTGGAGAAAACATTATTCCATTGAAAAAGTAAGAATTTTCTTATAAATGGATTCGCCATTTATTCAGTCCATCAATTGATTTTTTTCACTCCACTGAATGGCTACGTAAGCAAGTCCTCCACTATCTCTCGTTCAATAAGTTTCAATAAAGCGGTATCGTAGCCATTTGTAAAAAATAATTATTGTAATCTGAAAATCATACTACGGGATACGTATTTATGTTCCTACTTACTGACAAACTGTTCAATTAGCCAAATCCGAAAGTTGAAATGATTTTAGCAAGTCAATTAGATCCCGATCAAAAAAAAACTTGTACTTCAACACGCAGAGAAAATCCAATGGTTTAAACCAACCAATAATATTTTTGATTATCAAACAAACACATAAATTCGAATGATAAGCTGTCAAATGCGGTCATTCTGTTTGCCATCTCCAATCACAGTTTTAATAATTGGCGATGAATTTCATGAAATTATCTCCGTACGGCTAGTCTAAACACTTCTATGCGATTTTCTCGGTATGTATTCAGATTTCGTTCTTTATTGAATACCTATTTATTTAAGAGTGTTTCATCGAGTATTCCAGAAATTGACGCCATCACCATTTCCACCAATCCATGACGTGATTGCATATTTGCATTAGCATCCAAAGGGCAACAAAAATCCTTGCCAATATTGAACAGATGAAATAAGGGTATTAAATATTAAAATTAATTCCATAATATCACAATAAGTAGCTCATCTAAATTCTAATCTGTTCACTACATGCCGATTAATGCTCGAGTAAAAGTTTGTAATAAATAAAATTGTAAATAGTAAAAACAATGCCAGTTTGTGATGACAAAAAAATAATGGCATTGAAATAAAAAGTAAAGTAAAATAGATATTGGTCATGAGACATTGTTGTTTCTAAAATATTGTTGCATGATTTTAAACGAAAATATTGTTGAATAGCTTGTCACAGTTGTTTTTGGAGGTAACAGCAAATATTGTTGAAACGATTACACGATTTTTTTTATTCAAAATAATACAGTCTTTAGTTGAACTTTTGAAGCGATTATAATTATTTTTTTCTGCGTGAATGAACTCTTTCACAATATTTTCATCGTCCGACGCCATGTAGAAAAAAAAGAAAATAAACGCTCCGAGCTTTTTGTAGCGCACTAAATTTGCATGATTCATTAGACTATACATAACAGTTGAAATCATGATTTTATTTTAACTTGGATATGGTCAATTGAATTGAACGGAGAGATAGTTGTTTTTTACCATCGAATAGTTTATATGAGGGACAGTTCTTTTACTAATATTGTTCTTTCAATTGTAAAACTATTTTAGAGTGAACAAATAAATTCGTTTGAAGTATCTATGAACCACTACTCAAAACCAACTATCTAAGATATTATTCCAACAAAAATGTTTAACCGTGATGATGCAAATCATCCTTAATTGGTTTTCAATAGAAAGAAAAAAACAATACAAGAATAAAAAAAATCAACTTGCGCAAATATATGCCACTGCTACCTGCCATTTTTTTCCTAATTTGTCCCAATTTACATATTTTCATAAGAATTAAAATCCTTGTTTTCAATGAGAAAATATTATAAAATAAAGTCATTATGTGGGTAAATTCTCAGTAATCCATAGGAACGATTTTTTTAATTTCCAAATAAGGGATTTTGAAAAAACCACCTAAACCCCAACTTACACTATCCTGCCCCAGATGAAACCAGTTCTATTAGATTCATTGGGTTTTTTCATGTAAGAACGACTATATTTGCTCAAGTGCCTTCAGCGCGAACAGGAGTTCAAGAGCAAATTTTCATTATGTCGTAAGTAACATTCGCACCAATCCGAGAAAAATAAAGTTTTGTTTTGATGACCGAAAAGTTATTCCTATTTCCAAGTAAACACATATAATCTCATAGTGATAGCAATGTTTGACATATTTAGCAGGGTTTTAATCATACAAATGCAAATCGCTAGCTTTCATGCTAAAAAATACTGGTTTTTGAGTCAAAAGTTATTATACGTCGTTTGGTGGCCCCTATTGTTACTTAAGTCAAAGTGTATTTACCAGGATATTCGGAAGAATTATCAATTACGTCTCCTTACGTGCAGCCCATTCATCATTTTAGGACTACCGAAATCATCTTAGCATTAAACAGTTCGATTTATTCACTTTAATAATGAGAAAGCGAAACGACGAACGTACACTTTTCACGGGTTTCTCAGCGCTGTTACTTAAGTCAAACGGCATCTCCATAGAAATTGGGTGACTTAAGTAACATCGAAAACTATTTTGATCGGAAGGTGATTACGTCAAAAAGCAATTTGACTGGCAAATAAATTTAAAAATGGGATTTGATCCTATATTCGGACAGTATATAGTGTAATAGCAGGAGCATCGATTGACACTGATAGCTCGACTTTGTTTACCTTTGTTACATTCGACGTAATGAAAATTTGCTCTTGAGTTATTGAATTTTGATACATTTTTTTGTGCCCAGTGTGCAATGTATACCTTAAACATCATCTTGAGGACAGCGGCGCCAGTGGTGTATTGGTAAGCGTGATTGCCTCTTACCCCAAAAGTCCTGGGTTCGATCCCAGTCGGCGCCGTCGGGATTTTCTGAAGCATAAAATCTCTGATCACGCCTTCCTTAGGAAGGGAGGTAAAGCCGTTGGTCCCGGTCTATGAGTTGATGAGTCAAGGTAGGGTCCAGGTGTAGGAGCTGCCTCCCTGGCGTTGGTAGCATTTGGTATTCAGTACGGAAAACAAGATTGACGGAAAACAAACCAAGGAAAAAAAAATCTTTTTGAAGACGAACGACGAATGTCAAAGATTTGGAGTGTGTATGGTAGACAGGGTACTAATTATTATTTAGTTCCTCGGTTTTCTAGATTTCCGAAGTTCCGATAACCCCGGAAGTTTCCAAAGTTTTAGGGGTTGCCATTCACCTTTCACTATTCATAGTTATCAGGTATCAGAACGTTGGCTCAGGTAGCAGGTTCCCCTACAGATGAGAATTATCATTTTCATTTCATTTTCAAGCACAGAAGGGGGTCATAGGGCCAAGTCACCAGCGAAAAATCGCTGTCCATACTGCACCAGGGTAGAGGTATAGATTTGCCATCACAGAATAATAACCACAGGGGTCAAATGAATCCTGTTTACGATACCGGATAGTAAGGAAAGCTGTTGAAGATAGGGGATAGTCAGAGTAACAGCAATAATAGTGAAAGTTAGGAAAATAAGCAGGTAGAGATGGTTGATTTGCAATGGCTATCGACTCTGTTATATGGCCTACCGTATCAGATTCAAATTTAATGTCGTTTAATATTGCGCTTATTACTTTTATCTTTATTCTAAGCAATCTCCTTTCATACTTGTTGTTTTAAAGTGAACTGGATGAAATGATTGTTTTATCAAAATTATGTTAAAGTTAACTACTATTCATATTTGCTAATTAATACCTAAATGTAATTTTTAATTTTATGAAGATAAGTTGCTCAGAATAGCAGCCTGTAATTCCGTACCAGAATCCGCCTCCAATTTAATGTCTTTTGTGGATTCGTAGTAGCAAAGTTGTGCTAAAAGCTAAATAGTTACCTAAAAATACTACCTAAATCGTTCACAATCAGAGCCGGGCCACTGATGAAAACCAAAACTACAACCCTGAAAAAACGAATCGATATTTTCGAAGGCGAACACAACCTATTCTTGCTAGTGATTCTGTCCAATTGTTAGGTATCCAAATTATAGTCATATTATTGAATATATGGATGAATTATCTATTATTGAATAACTATTATTTACGATAATTACATGAAAGAAATAACATATAAACTACAAACAAAACGTGACTACTAAAATCTCAAAAAGATATTCTCACAAGTATATTTCACGCAACCAGGAATCTCAAAACCATTAGACGCTATAATGATACTCTGCACATGTTAGACACAAGAAAAGGCCAAAAAGCAAGCGTCCGACACACAAAACCCGCCAAATCCACTGGCAGTCACAATCAACGATTCTACGAATCGCGAGCGCTCACGAATCATAAAACCGCTGACTGCGACACTCTGAAAGCGAAACTGACAGGCTCTATGCGTCAAACACCCGCCCTCCAATCTCCTCCCGCATCCAACAACACAAACCTCCATTACAACATCTAACGAATTCAAAACTCCGAAAATCACTCATCTATAGAAAGTGAGTGGAAGCAACCCTGCATGCAACTATTCTTCATGATACGCTTTGTCTGTCTATCTTTCTATTAGGCCTGTAGACATGTGTTAGCTTCGAAACTTCTAACCAAACTAGGAAAATTTTGAAATCACAAAAAAAAAATTCAAAGGTAATTACAAGCAAAATACATATTGATTATTTTACGCAAAACCGAGCAAGTAATATTAAATCTCTTGTATTGTATGCTAATGCTAATTGACTGTAACAAAAATAATATGCTTAAATAAAATAAAATATTAATAAAATTATATGCAAAATTAACTAGAAGATCATTACTTTATTGGTGAGAAGTTTCTAATAAGCCCTCCCAGTTCCTCTGTATACAGAACAAATCTGATACTATAATCAGAATTGCTCAGTCTGCATGAAGCAGCCGATTGCATCAAGGAAGTTCTATTAACAACCAAGAATTAATCGTTTGAGGTATACTGAAGCATTAAGAAGGTGATATGTGTCACTATGGGAAATCATCATCGTTGCAAATATAAAGAAATTAAACATAACCCTTTGCTTCAGTACCGTCAACCTCCATGTCCATGGGGAGGGAGGTTCCCCTACAGATGAGAATTATCTAAAAAAAATTAAATTGGCTGTGTAAGTTAGATGAGATTTATTGATATATAAGAATCTAAAAATCAACAAAAAACAAAATTTACATCTAAATATTAAATATTATTCTTCACAATTCCGATCAGAAACTTACTCAACATTTTTTTTAAAAGTTGACATGATATAAAAGGTGAATTGATAGTTGAAAAATACATAATAACAATGGTTTAATCACAGACAAACAGACATAAAACATTGAATATTTCTCAATGTAAAACATCGTCCCTAAAACATTACCGCCATCTGTTGAGTATACTGTGGTGGGTAGTACGCTGAACAGATGGCGGTAGTGTGTAAACGTCAAACGCAAGGGAATTGACTATGCGCGCCGCAGGTGGCGGTACTACCAACTTCGATACTTTTGAATTGACCGTTAAATGCTTGTTCGATGAACAGCTTGCGAGTGTTATGTCTGTTTGTCTGTGGTTTAATTTTCTTTGATAAGCTTTCCGCAAAATCTGCGTCACGCTTATAAAAACGCGCGAAACGCATAATCCGCACTAGCAAAGCACCAGGCGTAGCAATCCTGGAATTATAATCGAAAATCTCTTGCAATTACATTGTTCTTTGAAGCTCTTGTCAGAATGTTATTAGAATTATGGTCAAAACTCCCTTGGAATTGTCATTTGAATTGTCCTCAGAGTTCCTTTGAAATTTTGCTCATTATCGCAATACTTTTCACAATCCCAATGGAATTTTCGTCATGATTACCATGTACTTTTACTCATAGTACCCTTGGAATTCTCCAAAGAAATCTCCTGAAGTTCTCCTCGTAAATTAAAAAAAAATCTTTTCAAAGTTACCATGAAATTAGAATGGAAGAAGAATACTATCCAGAGCTCCCTAGAAATTCTCTGCAGAATGCTCTTGGCATTGCGCCCATTGATTTAATATCATTGAAATTAATATCGTGGAAAAGTTACTAAATATTTCGAGCTTTGCCTTGGCGCCCTTGGTGCGGGCCATTTTTTTTCCATCCCCTCACTACGTCCCTGGATATCGATCTACTGTTTGAAGATACATTCGATCCATCGGTGCCTTCTTAAATATGTAGGTAATAAAGTTAAATGAGCCATTTTTTTTCTAAAAAAAATAACATACAATATACAATGTTTTTTATTGGTTCTTTACGGGACTAATGTGCAAAAAATACATGCTAACATTTTTAGGTAGATACATCACATATTTTCCATTGAACACTACAAGAGAACTGCTTTCAGTCTGATACAATTTATAAATTTAGGTTTTGTAATGTTTATCCACATCTGGATTTTTGGGAGCTACCTGTAAAATAGTCGGGTCAACTACAACCAACATATTTTAGTTCGTACAGTACTTCGTGACCGCAAAATTCACCAACATTAAAGTTAATTTTAAATAAAATTCGAAAAATAAAAACTATTAGCAATGAAAAAATAGATTTATCTTCACTGCTAATGAAACTGTTGTCCTAAATATTTTGGGTGATTCATGTATTGGGATATTTTTTACAAACGTACGATGAAAACATTAAAAAAAATATTTAATGTTATTTCTTGATTTAAATGTCATTAACTTTATCTCAAGTTAAAGCAATTTATACTTACAGTAGAATTTAATAAATCACTATATTCACTATTTAATTTTTTATTTGTAGCTTTTAAAAAACTTTTTTGATAATCAAAATTCGTGCCAGTCAATAAATACACGAAACTGAAGTCAACATTATTTTGATTGACATTTTTTAACTCATCAACATGAACACGGTAAGCACAGAACACCCAATAATGACTTTTAACTACCTATTTTCTCGGGCTTACACGTTATTTCAAAACAACCCAAATTTGGAGAGCTAGATGGGTCTAAACTGAACCTACACTCAAAAATATTACAAAACGAATATAGATTAAGTTTTATGCATTTTATGGTTTTTCAAAATTTATACATTGGTTCGATTAAAATTTTCGTCAAAATTATACTAAGTCCGAATAACGGAGTGGAATTCGATCAGTGTTTACTAAAATGACAGGAATAAGAACATCTGGATTCCCTTCGGAGCTTCGTGCTGATGGTGAAAGGCTTTGTCCCAGCGGATTTCTACTGCGCCTGTAATCTGCTGGGCAGCATCGAAATTGTAAGTATTTTTTTTAAATATTATTAATAAAAAATAAACTAATGAAAAAAGCTTCCTGAGACAATTTTTATTTTCATTTGAAAACAATAATATTTACCATAAATGAAATAAAGAAGCGAAAAATACATTCTCTTGAATAAACCGTATCTATGCATTGTGAGTATGTTTCAATTTTATACTATGGCACGCATAAACAATTTTTATACTAAGGCTGTGTTCCATTTGGAAATTTTTCACTTAAATTTGACACTTCGAAAATAAATTAAGATGTTCGAAAATCCCTCTGTTATTGATCGGCCGATTTTTGAGAAAGCGTCTGTCACAGTTGATTCCTTGTCTGTCAGAAATGAGTCTGCTGGAATAGCAGGTTTATTTGAAAATTTTCCATCTGTCAAATTAAAGTGAAAATTCACCAAATGGAACACAGCCTAAGTTTGCATTCTCTCCCTTTATACCGACCTTTGCGTCGGTACGGAGAGTTGCTATTTAGCGTAACTTTTATACTATTTAGATTTCAATATTTTTTGAGTGTAATCTGCATCATCTCTTGCCTCCCGGCAACCCTGTATGCTGTCCGATCATATGTCAGTGTCACTTCTGCTGTCACCTGAAAAGCTAGGCGTTTGTTTTTTCCGTGACATTTATTTGGCTAAAATTTATAGTATATCGTATTGTTACTTATAATTTTCAATTTGATTTAATTGTTAAAGTACATTGCTGAGCCTACACTGGGATGGATCCCTTCGACATGACAGCAAAAGGTTTGAAAATAATTGCAGGTTTTTTCGTACTCTAAACTCCTTTATTATATCTTCGTTTCATTACCCCACCCACCTACGAAGCTCTGGGTTTGACTAAAAATTGGCGTTGACGGCGACTCTGTAGCTCTTTACTCCTATGAGAAAATCCATAAGCAAACGTCAGACTGTGCGTGAAACATGGCGGACTTTGTACTATCCTTTCACTCCACCGAAAATTCCCATAAGAAACTATCTAAATTTGCTGGAAGAGCAAATTTTTCGACGGTGCCGTCAACGCCAATAAATGTATAAATAAAAGTACAGCAATATCGGCTTCTCTTCTGACAACAGCTGGAAATAAAAAAATATAATTTGTTTATTACCATGTAGCGAAGTGGCAGTAATGGAGTGAATTTAGCTGGAAAATCTTGCAAAGTTGGTGTTGCCCCATTTTATCGACCGATTTCCCCGATGACCTGCTAGCATCCACCGGATCTATGTAACTCGGTCTACGTTTTTCATCATGAACAATCAGTAGGTACATTGTATGTAGGTATGTTCTCCACACCACATCAGATGGAAGAGCTTGTGATAAATTACAGAAGAAATGACACTACCATGGAAGGGGACATTTTGTTCATAATGTATGTGAAAAAAGGACATTATGAAAGATGCAAAATTAGTGGTGTTCGAAAATTATTGAAAAATGACGGGTTTCAACACCTCTTTCTAAAAGTGCATTTTAGTTTGAAGTGGTAGCACAATACAGTGGCTTCCCGTGTTTGACAACAAACTATTTTTGTCTGTTTTGTTGTCTATGAAACCCCTCGAACGCTAAATGCATTTTCTGATTTTACTAAAATGGTTTTTTTTTTATTGTTATGAGATTGATGGTAACGTAAAATTATTTAAATGCATTAGTGCTGGTAGAAAACTCTATTTTAATATGCATAAGGTTGTTTCTAAACCCACAGTCACTTATAGATTCTGTTAGTTGTAGGGTCTGTGACTGCTACTACCAAGTGTGCCAATACAAACAAAAATAAACATTTTGACAGTGAGCATTCATAAGGGCGTAAACGTAATGATCGATTCTCTTCGTCGATTTTCTCTTTTGTTAATAACTCGCTAGAATTAATGTTTATGTTTCCCGGCGCGTTTGCTGTTGCCAATTGGCAAATCAAACTTGGCACTCGTGGAGAATAGATGAACTATGAGTGTGATGATGGTTTCAAAATTTTACACGGTGCGGTATACTGCCGTTATGCACATAACTGTCCCATGTTCTATGCAATCCTTATGCACCGTGGGACTCTTAGGGTTGATGCATATATTATGTCACGCTCTAAGGGGGGAGGGGGTCTAAGATTTTGTGACAAGCAATGCATTAGGTATAGGAAAAACGTCACGATAGGGGGGAGGGGGTAATTTTTTGCTCGATTTAGCGTGACATAATTAATGCATGGGCCCTTATGCGTATAACGGCAGTATACGGGTGCTATCTTAAAATGCTTTTATTTTGCAAATGAAGCATCATATTTTAATCTGGTTAATGCTACGTTAGTAGAAAACTTAAGGACTACTCAATAGACATATAATATAGAAAAAATGATATCTTTTCAGATTTTTAGGTGTATACATAGATTTCAGCTTTTGTACTACTGTCACCGACAGACCGACATGAATGATCATAGCAAAAGCAATAAAATTTCTGACCAAAGCACACTACTGACATCTGGCTCCGTGTTCGCGGGTAACATTTAGCTAAGCCATGAACCCGCATGCAAAAAATATGAATTGGTTCGTGTCTGATCTATTCTGGACAAATTATTTTTATCTAGATCAAAAAATCCTATGGTTTTGACAGTTCGGATCACTGCACATTTAAATCGACCGTTTACGAATTTCGGGCATAAGTCCAAATTAAGTGTCATGTCGGTTTGTCGGTGCTACTGTAGCAGCAACCAGAATCAAATAGAATGCTCTATTTTTGCAAAATAAAAGCATTTTAAGATTGCATTCGTATACCTCCCCGTGGAAAATTTTGAAACCATCATCACTTTCATAGGGGAAATGGCTCTAATGTTGGCCTATGGATCTAAGATCGGGCCCATCGCTAAAAATCTACTATTTATCATTTTTATCTAGATGAACGCGTCATTGGGACGGTACTAATGGATATTTTTGGTTGCTTTTGAAAATTTAGTCAATTGCTGAATTATGGCCGACATTACATCCATTTCTCCTAGTTCTTCTATTCTCCACCAGTGCCAACTTTGATTTGCCAATACAACCTGTTACAACTCTGCATTGAACAAATTCTAAAAAATTGGTTCGCTTAGCTGTAGCAATGCAAAGAGAATTGATTAAGAGAATCGATCATCGCGTATACGCCCTCCTTATGCATGCTCAAAAATTTTATTCATCTACATCGCATTTCAAGCTTATTGCTTATTGCTTATTGTGTTCTAGATGCACTTCCACAGTTATTAATTGAGAGCTTTCGATGCCTGTACCATTTTTGCATTAGTATGATTGTGTAGCAAGTACAATCATATACTCTACGCCCAGGGAATTCGAGATATTTTCCAACCCGAAATATTCCTAAACCAGACCGGGAATCAAACCCAGCCACCTCCAGCATGGTCTTGCTTTTAGTTGCGCCTTTACCGACTGAGCTAAAGAAGACACATTTATTACATCCACTTAATAATTCAGCTAAGCAGGCGACAACTTGTTCACATCAACAACAATCATCAAAATTTATTCTACGTACAAAACAATCATATTAAGTTAAAGAAATTTCTAGCCTGCACTATAGTAGTTTGCATTTCTGGAGGCGAACAAGCCCCAGGCTGAAAACCTCCTCAATAAAGAAAACCTAACCTAACCTAGTTTGCATTTGACCAGTACTCCTAAACATGCGGGATTGCATATAAAAGTGAGCTTTGACGTTGAATCGTCTTGGTGTCTTCGGCGCACTTATTCCTTATTTGCTAAGGAATAAGTGCAACGTAGACACCAAATTGGTTTACCGTAAAAAGCCACTTTTATTAGCGTTTCCGCACTTATTGTGTGCACAATGCGCAATATGACATCTGTAAATTTCTGAAAATCTTGTTAATAAAGAAATTTAATCTAATCTAATCTGTAAAATGTATTCCCAATGAATTACAGCGTGCTATTAGTTTTGATCTCAAAACTGCTAACAGCATGGCGACACTTTAGCGGCCAAAAATAGTAAAAAATTGATGGAGTTTTTTTTTTTAATTCTTCCCAATTGATTTTAAAACCGAAAACGAGCAAATATTTAGTAAACATAAAATACACATATTTTTTCTTAAAAAAATATATCAAAATTTGAATACACAAAAGCCTTTCTAAACGTACGCATCCCTCACAAAGGGCATACAAGTCTACACTATTTTGCAAAAACTTGTGAGCGTAATTGTTAACATCTATAGATCTATACCTCTCACGCAATAGCCACGAGTTCAAATCTCATCCCCGGACAAGTCACGACTGACCCAAGATTGTTAAAGTGACTATTAAAAAAAAAAGGAAATTGTTATTTCATTTTGCAATGTGTTGGACTGTTTTTTTTAGCTTCCATACCCGAGCAAAGTCTGAGATCAAATTGAAATCTAAATTTGATGTTGTGATTTCGCTGATATAATGATTACTCAGGTTGTTGTCGTTTTGGTCGTTTTAACGGTTAAAATATTAAAATTGAGGGCAAACATATCTTCCTGTGACATCACATTGAAAACTATTTCTGCTATCAGTGAGAGCAAACTGAAAACCAAATTTGCTATCCATTTTTCCTGTTGATAACAAAACAAGTATTCAATTTGATGTTATGCTAAGGCAATGAAAACAAACCCGTAACAACATATTTTTAAAGAGCAAATGTACAGCAAAATGAAATCTAAATTTGGTATCAAATTTGTCAATGTGTAAACTGAAATCAAATTATGATTTCAGTTTGATGTTGATATCAAAACTTGATTTCAATTTGCTGTCATTTTGATGCCGGACTTTGCTCGGGTACCCAACTAACTATTAGCGAATTTGTTTATTATTCAGTTCCAACCTGGATCGGGTATCAAGATAGGTTCTGCTTGATTTCTGACAGACGTCAGTTTGATCGTTTGTTTTTAAAACCTACCTCAGGTTGAGGTTCGCACTGTCAAAAAGTTCGGTTTCACACTGGGTTGGAACTGGTTTCAACCCCGATAATAAACAAATTCGCTATATGTAAGCTAAATTTTGACTTATTCAGCAGAACAAAGCTTATTCAGGTAGAAAGAGGCATATTCAACCTTTGTTTGATGGGTTTTATTATTCAACAATTTTATCAGACTTTAATCTAATCGGTTTAATAGGGTAAGCGGGGAGGAAACTCTGATAGTCTAGTCAGTAACGGCACGGTAATACCACAAACGAAGTGACAGACGACTAACTGGCGAAGAAATCAATTAAAATAATGTGGTTCGCTTTAATAGAATTTTCTTAGAAGCTTGTGCCATCATCCACCAGATGGGATAGTATTTTTGTTTTGGTTTTGCACAAAGTTGATTTTGTGTACAATGATTCTTTGACAGTGTGCAAAGAGTGCGTATCATTTTGTCATTTTTTTATGCATTTCAGTTTTGAGTAGAGTGAAAGAGATAGAACCAAAACATTCTAGTACATTTGGTGAAAATGCTAGTTCAATCCAGTAGTAGTGTTGCCATGTGGTACAATCCAGTAGTAGTGGTGTTGCCATGTGGTACACTGAAAAATTGCAATAGCAGGTTAGTCACCAAAGTTTTCGAGCCGCTCCGTCTGCCACTTCGTTTGTGGTAATACCAAACCGGAGCGGGTTCGATTCACAGTCCGGTCGAGGAAATCTTTAGCTTTGGAAATTTTCTCGACTTCCCTATGGAGTATCATTGTGCTTGCCACACATTATACCATTTCTTGCATTGGTTGGCATAGAAAGCTCTCAATTAATAACTGTAGAAGTGCATTTAGAACACTAAGCTGAGAGCCGTCAAAATGCTTGTAAAGAAAAAGCATAGATGAAGAAGAAGAAGGTACTTAAATGCTATTTTACAAAAAAAAACATGTTTTAGTATTGTTTCTCATGTATCTATTAGTACTAATATAAAATACTCTTTTTGGAAAATATGGCAAATTAAAGATACATTCTTTTTATTCTCCTAGCAAAAATAAAAATGTTTTAGTGTACATGATATTAATATAAAGAAATGTATATTACAGCTAAAAGGGTTTAAGGAACCAAACCGAAGACTAGCGCCTTCGTATAGAAATATTGATATTATATTTATGTAAATAAAGCTTAGACCATTCTTCCACTGAGTTTCTCAAAGATCAAAACATCATAGACTAACAGTATATTTACATGATTTTCAATTTTCTTTTCTTTTTTCTTTAACAGATGACACTGATTTGATTCATCAAGATCAGACAGCTCAGAGTTTCACAATGGATTGTACAAATCAATCACGGATCTCTCCTACTAAATCCACAATAGACTCTAGTCCCCTGCAGACAGCGATGGACAAGAACAAGGAGTGTAAGTAGAAATCAGCTAGCCTAATGTCAAGGGGCACGTAATAACTTTTAACTTCGATGAAGGTCACGACTGTAATCAAATTAATCCCATTAACTACTGCTATAATTACATTAATTACACAGCGCAGAACATTAACTACTTTTTAAGTCCTACAATTACAGTCGAAGTTTTCTAATTAAAGAACATTAATTACATTTTCAGTTCTTTTAATTACATTAAGTACGGATAATTAATTTTAATAACCCTCAGTATTACCAACAATCAATACGAAACTAACGATTTTAAATTGGCTCACTACTTGACTAGCCTATTGGTCCCAAGCAAATCGACTAACGTACCCCATTCTAGTATAAATTCCAGTACTCACTGCTTGACTAACCTCAACAATCAATACGAAACTAACGATTTTAAATTGGCTCACTACTTGACTAGCCTATTGGTCCCAAGCAAACGATTAACGTACTCCATTCTAGTCGAAATTCTTGTACTACACTATGTTTGTTTTGATTTGCTACACGGATAGAAATCTCCTTATACCTTTTGGCAAATTTCTATTACTGATTATCCATAAAATGTATAAGTCAACTAATAAGCAGACACCTTACAAAAAGTTAATGAAAATCATGTGTCAAATGAAATGTATAAGCGGCCACACATACCTTTAATGCATTCTTATAGGACCTATGTGGTTTGTCTTATGGAATGTATAAGGCTGATGTTTTGGCAAAAATGTATAAGTGAAACACATGAATAAAGTAATTGATTTTCGTTTCGTGTATGAAAGTTTGACAGATAAAATGAGGGATTAGTAATTTTGTCTATGTTTCGAGGGGTGAATCGATTAGCTTGGGACCGAAGAGAGTACCAGAGCTGAGCCAAAAAGTTGGGCACGTTTCTTCGGGACCTTCTGGTATTAGAGTTACCTCTATGGTATTACTTCAAAACACTTTAAGGTTTTATTTACTTTGATGCATTTTTTATAAATACAAAAACAGTTATTTTCGACGCATTATTTTAGATTGCAAAAAGCTCGCGTCATTTTGTGTAAAATATCAAAAGGAATCGAATAGTGCGAGCTTTTTGCAATCTGAAATAATGCGTCGGAAAAAACTGCTTTTGAAAGTTTGCAAAAAGCATCAAAGTAAATTGAACTTTAATTACATTAATTACTTTTGCTTGCATTAAACTCCGACGCAGTGGTTCTTTGTATTGCGTGCCCCTCACCTAATATTTTTTTCGTGCACTCAAAAAATTCTACACGTTTGATTGAAGTGTTTAATCACTTGATTTTTTAAATGCACAATCACATTTACTTTAAGTGTATTCCACCTTGGTTGAATGTGTTGTACACGTTAATTTCTAGTGTTTCAAACTTTGAAATGTTGAAAATCTTTCACTATCTATTCAAGTGTATTGCACATTGAATCACACTACTGTTCAAAACAGATGTATTTAAAGTGTTTTGCATTTCAATACGATGTGAATTGCTTGCTCAGAAAGGTAAACATCGAAAACAAGAGTTGTGACTTTATCCTATCAAGCCGCCTGATATATGAGAACAACCGTGGTACAGTGAGATCGAACGAAGACTCCGGCAGCAGCACACCCCAACAGTCCATGATCGAATCCCAAATCAGACCCATTAAAAAGATATGTGAAAGCTCTGGCCTCTGGAAGTATTGTTTATATATTTGTCTATTCATTTTTAGAGTCGGTAAAGTAGAAGTCGATAAAGTAGAATATTGTAGATTATTGAAATATGATGTGCAAAGCTATTGATATCACCATATGAGGCACATAGAATCCAAGTGTGCCACAATTCAAATCCATAGTGTTCAGGCATGGTTCATAGCATAAGATTCACACATGAAATGGATGTATTTCACAATAAGCGCAAAATTAAGTGTGAGACACATGATGATGGCGTGTGGAATTTTTTGAGTGTGAAACGCCACTTGATTCTAGTGGTTAACATGGTGTTAACTAGCACAAGAACTTTGTTTGGAAGTTGGTGCACAGGTAAAAAGTGAGGGTACGGGACGCCTCTGCTAAAAAATTGATTTAATCGACAAGACGGTTGCAAGCATACTAGATCTGGAACTGGAACTATCAAGAAATTCTTACAGGCATAAATGTACTCTGAACTGTCAGGGAATTTTAACTACCAATCAGTGCATTCAAATAATCAATCGAGTTGTTGAATCTGGGTACAGAGCATTTCGAGGCCAGATAGCAAAAAAATTGCGTGAATCTTTGCGTTTTTGTTTGTTATGGGCAATCATTCACATTTGCTTCACAATAACTGAGGACTAAAACGAATGCTCTGCTTCATTCGCTGCTTTCTTGTGATTTTGACGCCGTGGTTTTCACAGAAACGTGGCTTCATACTAACATCGCGAATGATGAACTGCCAAGAAACTACACTATCTACCGCTGTGACTGGAATTCCCACTATGATGTGGTGCCGTGAAATCCGAGCTGAATTGTAAAGCCGTGCATCTGGTTGATTGCGAGAATCTTGAACAAATTGCTGTGCAGGCTACCACATCAATCGCTTTTCCTGTGTTGCATCTACATTCGTTCCAGTAGTCAACTCGACTGAAATGGCTAGCCCTCATGATACGACTATAGTTATGGGTGATTACAACCTGTCGAATCTAGCTTAAGACTTCCATGAGGATGTCTAAGGATTCTTACCTCTCAATGCTTCATCTGAACAGGAACTTTCATTAGTCGAGTCTGCAGGACTTAAGCAAATCAGCTCAACGCGAATGGTAAACTTCTCGATCTGATGGTCGCCATCATAAGCCGTTAGTTTTGAAAGTTGATATCTGTTCGTATCCAGCAGCACGCAGTGAGTACAATTTCGCACGGTGTGATTTCGACGCTATTAATGCGAGGATCTCAGCGTTGGATTGGGTGCAATTACTTAACTTACCTACCATTGATGCCGCCGCGTCCGTGTTCTATGACAATATTTATCAAGTAATCCATGATACTGTTCCGGTAAAGGCTCGTAGACCTTCTAAGCATTTCCAACAACCGTGGTGGAATCCGCAATTGCTAATCTGCGTAACCGTCTGTGTAAAGGCCCACGCACATTAGATCCGGATCGGACGCGTTGCGGCAAAGTGACAGCTGAATCTATTGTCTAGCTGTCAAATTTACGTCAACGCAACGCAACATTGGATTCGCACACTTTACTTTCGCTCCAGGACTGGAGCTGAGTACAACAGTTTGCATGAAGTTCGCTTTCATGAATATGTTAATAACCTCCAGAGTGGCTTCAAAGAACACCCATCGCCGTTCTGGTCTTTCGTAAACGCTCGCAAAAGATCAGCTGGTATTCTGGCAGACGTCACCTACTGCAATCGATGTTCCTCCACTGATGCCACTTCTGCAAACCTCTTCGCTGATTTCTTCCAAAGCTTTCTCGAACTCGATCACTATTCGATCAACTACAACATTAGTCTACAGCAGCTTAACTTCAGCCATGACGCTGTTTTCAAAGCCGTTTGCTCGGTGGATGCATTGCAAGGCCCAGGTTCGGATTGTATTCCACCGTCTTTCATCAAAAATCTTCAATCGTACACTCCTGGATGGCGTTTTTCCGGATTCCTGGAAGCTTGCATCAATTACACCGATCTTTAAGTCAGGTAACATTCACAGCGTGGAAAACTATCGACCTATCTCGATAGCCAAGCAAGTTCTCGAAAGTTTTCTGCATGACAAGTTGTATCCAGATGTGCAATTTCGGAGTTCCAGCATGAATTCATGAAAAAGCGCTCGACGATATCCAACTTGATGTCTTATTGGTGGCATAGAAGAGCGTCAGCAAGCAGACGCCGTTTACATTTACTTGTCTAGGACTTTCGACGAAGTCCCTCATGACCTCGAAAAGCTGAGTCGCCTTAGTCATCCGCCGTGGGTCGTTTGCTGGTTAAAATCATATTTATCCTCCAGGAAGGCCTTCGTTAAGGGGAAATTTACCACCCCAAAAATAGATTTTTTTTTCGGCACGTTTTTATTTTTCTAAAATGAATGAGAAAAATTATCAATTATCCAAGAAAATCAGTTTTATCCTTAGATTCTTGAGAAAAATTACATGTAAACATATTTTTTCTATCTCATAATGAAAAAAAAAATTGGACTCTCAGCGAAACAGAAATTTTAGATGGTTGAAGTATAAGCAGTTGAAATTGAATACAAGTAAATCTAAATTTATGGTAATTTCGCGGAATCGAGTAAATGAGAACGTCTCTGTTGTAATTGATGATGAGATTGTTGATCGCGTTCGGGAGATTAAATATCTTGGCGTGATTATTGATGACACGCTTAAGTTCAACTCTCACATTGACAATGTCATCAAGAAAATTGCCAAGAAGTATGGAATTCTATGTCGCCTGACAAACGATTTAACTATTGCCAGTAAAATACAGCTATACAAATCAATCATCTCTCCTCATCTAGACTTTTGTCCTTCCATTTTATTTCTGGCCAATGCAACACAAATATCGAGATTACAGCGCTTGCAGAATAAAATAATGCGTTTAATTTTGAGATGTGCCGAATTATTCACTTCCTCAACTTTGATGCTAGACGCCTTACAATGGTTGTCGGTGAAGCAAAGAATTGTATATGTGACTATGGTGTTCATTTTTAAAGTAGTTAACGGTTTGCTGTCTCGATATTTGTGTGATCGAATTGAAAGAGGAAGTGACTTTCATAGATATAATACTAGAAACGCGGCTGAAATAAGAACACCACATTTCTTGACTTGTGCTTGTGGAATAAATGTTTTCAATTCGATGCCTAGACATATCAAACGTTCAGCAACACTTACAGAATTTAAAAGACACTGCATTTCACACGTTAAAACTGTCTTTTGAACAGTTATCCAGCGATTTTTTTTTATGAATTGACAAATTATGTATCTTGACGAAGTTATCTCTAACGGTTTATGTTATATGGATAGCTGTCATAACGACTTTTTTTAATAATTATTGTAGCACTTCAAAAACTATTTCTGTTCGCATCGATGCTGATGATGGATTTTTAATATTTGATTTAATAGTAGATTAATTTAAAAAAAAAACGTAATCTACACAGGTTTGAGCTTCGCGCGCGTATAGAGGACTGAATTTAACATTTGATAAAAAAAAAATGCATATTTTAGGTGGACAAAAAGGCGAACTAAGAGGTGGACGCCTGAGCTTTTCCACATTTATATCGCTGTGAAGCAACTGTAAACTCTAGAGGGAATTTATATCTGTAACTGAAACCAGTTCGATTTTGTTTGCTAACCTGGTTAAAATGTCATATTTAATTATCTTAAAGATAAATCGTCCAGCTCAAACCTTTGTAGGGGTAAGAGGTGGGACCATCATCATCATCATTATCCCGATAACCTACCACCATACGAACACAGATGTGCGCTTATTGGGCTGCAAACACTATCGAATCGCCGAATCTTCCTGCAGAGACAATTTATTTTTGACATGATTAGTAATCATATTGCCTGCAGTAGTATGCTCCGGGATATCAACTTCCACGCTCCAGTCCGTAGTATCCGCAATACGTACCTCTTGTGGACTCCTGGACACCGTACTGCTTATGGATATTATTACAGACAAACAGACATAACACTCGCAAGTTGTTCCCTGATATTCCCTGATTTTGGCGGTAATGTTTATGCGACCATGTTTTACTTCGAATTGGTGATATCAGTTGCTTAGTCATTTGACGAAGGCATGGATCATTCTCATTTCAGAAACGTTTTATATCATTCAATTGAGAAACCTATACATAAACGGAGCTCTGGTCGACATTCCGGCGTAAAAGCTAAGCCAACCCGACACCAACCTGACGTCTATCAAACCCCAACTCGATGTTGACCCGACATAAACCCCAAATTGACCTGACAACAACACGACATTGGGTCGACATCGACCTTAAATTTGCATTACATTGATCCGACATCGGGTCGACTTGTCTGTTCGAGACCATTTTACTGGGTTTCTTCCATACTCCACTGTTGTATATCAAATGATAGTGAGTGACTCAATTGACAGTGACGATGAGCTTCGAATGAGAAATGAGGCTCTTCAAATTATGGTCATGTGAGAATTCGTTTTCACATAATTGATAGAATGATTGTATTGGTTCATCATCAAACGTATGATATGAAAATTAACAGCTCTAATGGCGAGACACTGTTTATCTTCACGTTTGTTTTGGCTCCTCTTCACAGCAATCTTTCCCTTCGTCGAAAAACCCCGAGTAGATCCCGGTTAGTTTGAATAGCTAAAATGGCATTTAAACGACGCTCATTTAGAATTTGTTGAACTGGTACCCCTACATAAGTGCCCAGTGGTTTTTCGCCCCTATGTAGGGGTACCAAGTCAAACAAGTTCTAAATTAGCGCCGTGTAATTAGCTGTTCAAACTAACGAGGTTCTACGGTATAACATGGGACAATTATGCGTCTACCAGCAATTTATATACGTCGTGTAATACGAGGGTGTCCAGCTAAGTTTCACGAGGTGCCAGATTTTCATTCGGTTGTTAATTTTACAGTTGAAATAATCGTAACATAGTTTTGAAGCAATAATAAAGTATTGTAAAGTAAGCCATGAGTCAACAATACTTTTGTTGAATTTAAAATCAATTGTACTGCGTGAAACACATACACATACACATTCACCAAAGAAACATCAAATGTTCATTAATCTTATCTCAACGTACTCTCTTTTTCTTTTCAGCTTTAAAAGTTAAACTTTTGGTAAGAAGAACGTTAAACCAATTAGTTGAGCAAGGAATAATGCCATGTAGGTTAATTTATATGACGCTCATTTGACATGTGCTTTAATAGTAGTATTTTACAGCTCCGAAAACATCTCCCGCAATTTATGAGCAACAGCGACAACTCGAACGGGCCAAGACAGGGGATTTGCTCAAGGCTAAAATTAAGCAAAGACCCGACAGAATGGAGCTGGAACGGAGACATATTTTGGAGCACCAAGAAGGCAATATTGATCCCAGCCTTGCAGAGAAGAAAAGGATGTTGGAGAAAGCTCTCTTAGTAGATCACCTCAATTCTAAGATATCACACCGACCCGGTCCCCTTGAGCTCATTGAAAAAAACATTTTGCACGCAGAAGAACCCATAGAGCGAATAGTCAAAGAAGGTTTAGTAAACTATACCTCTACAGATGAAGCTGTTTCACCAGCGCAAACACTACGAAGCCCAGAAAGTATGATATGCATTGAAGATGACTCATTGAGCTCAGAAGGTGAAACGCAAAACTTGCAAAGACTTACACCTATCAATGTTTTATTACTCACGCAACCTCAAAGTACAACAGTTTCTACTGATGCTCTTGTTGGGACCTTGTCGATAGGTGCTGGAACAAACCAGGTTTTGGAATCCACAAGTCCACAAGACTGCCTTACTTTTACGCAGCCTGAAAGTTGTGTCAAGAAAGAAGGAATTGAAACAATTCAGTTTAATTCAGTTGAATGCCACAAAAAACCTTACGCCAGCAGTAGTGCGGCTTCGTCCAAAAACGATACAAAAGAGAAAAGTAAAAAGAAAAATAAGAACAAGGCTATTTCAAAAACAAGATCCATCAAATTTCACGAATACAAGGGACCCGCCAATGCTCAAAAACATTCTTCTGCATCGCAAAACCACGGTGAAACCAATTATCAATTGATAATGAAGCAGCAATATCTCTTAGAGTATTTGGAAGAAATCTGCAAGCACCCTCCTGCTTTGCATGGCAGCTCGAGTATGTCGTTTTCAGCCAAGGAAAAAGATTCAAATGCATCTGGACAGGGATGTGAAGTAAATATTACTCAAAAACTGCCCCCGGATCCGGCAACAGAGACTTTAAACAAGCTTAAAGTTTTCCAATTGAAAAGGTATTGCAAGAAATATAATCTTCCAGTCTCTGGATCAAAATCAAGTCTGGTTGAGCGCTTGAAACCGTACCTTTACTTAATGGAGCAAAGTTCTGATTTCGAGGGGAAATATGAAACGGATATATCAACAAGCAGTAATACCACTGATGTAAAATGTACTGAGGGAATTGATGAACAAGTGCTAAAAGAACAGCAGAAACGTATAGCCGAGCTTCAAAGGTTACTGAAAAAGAGCCAAGATGAGCTAGAACACATGAAAATGATACAATTGCGTTCGCCTCAAGATTATACATCTCCATCGGGAAGTTTGCCTTGTACAGATGACTCAGAACATAAAATCGAACCAGATACGTCAAAGATTTTCAAAAGCGAGGAAATCAATATCACTTCTTTACACGCTGATAAAATGCTATCTGATATGGATATTAAAATTACTGTTCGTATTGATGCAGACTCACCAGATACTACAATTATACCTAAACTAGAACCTAATTTCGTCAGAAAAGATACACTGTTGAGTGTCATGGACGCTCCAAACAATATACTTACGGCCAATGGCAGAGAGCAGTGGAAAACCGATGAATTACTAGAGGCAGTCGTAAACGAGGACAATATGATACAATGCGATTCAATATCTCATAGAACGGTTAGTTTTGCTTCGAATACTGAAACTCTTGACAAGCTACTAGGACAGGTTCAGCCAGGAATCCCAAATCTGAATGATAATAAAGAGCATGGTTATAACATTTCCATGGAAGTAAACACCCACAGTGACATGTTAACTAACAAAGATATGGACGCAAAACCCATGAGCGATGAAAACATGCATACTCCTTTAGTGCTAAATGATTACAATGATGTAGACTTGTTGGACTTCCACATGCAGATCGATGATACCAGTGATACTTACACCATTTCTAAGTCAATGGAGAGTTCATTCCCAAGCATGGATATCAAACAACCAGAATGCAGCAGTGTCAATATGAATAAAATGAACTTTGAATCAACGATGGCTACAGGAAGCAACAATACAATGTACGACAGGAGGGATCATAAATCAGATGCTTTCAATGATTTTGATGGTTTACGATTCGCACACAATGAACCGTACAGTGACATTTTCAAGTTACATCACACAGGCATAAATATTGAGAACGTGGTAGACCCAAATGCTTCTGAATCATATTTGAAGTTGAATAATACGAGTGATATCAACGATAACTTCCCCACTTCCGCCAGTACCGCGTTGAGCTGCTCGTTCGTTCCGAAGCATTTAGATCATTTCTCGAATCCTGAAGCATCGAGTGTTAAGCGTAGCTGGATGCCCAACAATGCGTACTATGATATAAATAAATTAAAGACGGTTACCTTAGAAAACCAACAGCATTGTGTGCAATCGAACCAAAACCACAGTGGGATTATAAATATAGCTGACATGAAAAATGGTGATGATAGCTTTAGTTTTGAAGAACGAAATAAGGACACATTGTTAAATAGTAGCTGCAATAATAGTTCACACACGGGGCACATCAGTCCTATGGATTTTGACAGTTTATTGTCGAATATTAACTCGCCAACAACTCCGCAACATTGTGATCGAGGCGTACTTGACGAAAATCAAGACAAAACATTATATGATTTGCAACAGAATAACTTTTTGGATTACTTCACTGATGATTATGGTATGCAAAATGCAATTCTTTAACATGTGAAATAAATAACATTAGTTTATTAGAACATATAAAGTTTACTGTTTCGAAAGCATCCTTCTTCTTGGTTTTCCTAAAATTTGTTTTTACTTTTTTTGGGAGCGATCCATTATGTTTATACATATTCGTTTATTCCTAGTGCAAAACGAGTTCCGCCCTAGATCCGCTCTAAGGCTGTATTCTTATCCCTTTTTTATGGCCCAGACCTTTTGGTCCATATTTGCGAAGGCTGTGTTCCATTTTTTTTTTTCTTTCCTTTATTTGACGTCGGTCTCTGTTCCGCAATCTAGTGCCAATCACCGACGGACATCGATTGCCATCTATTGACGGCAATCAAATGTGCAGGAAGGCAGCTTCCACACCTGCGTACACTCAAAATAATTTTCACGTCAATGCTACGTGAAAACATACATAGATTTTTTCCATCGCACTTTTCACGTAAGTGTTACGTGATTATCATATGAAAGCACTCATTTCAGTGAGCGAGATGGTCACGGGATTATCACGTAGAAGTTATGTGATTCTTTCGATGGAATTCATGGTGGTTTTCAATGATTTTTATTCCGGTTTAAATCAAATGTATTCTTGATTTCAAATGAAAAATGATCCTACAGTATTCCTTGACCATTATATCTTTAGTGTGGCAAATAAACACTTAGAATAAGAAATTAATTCGAGCGAAATTGGACTCGGGAAGGATATGGAACACATATGGAGCATTTCCAGCCCAAAACGCAAACCGGTTGGTCATGAGTGTTTCCGATTTGAATGAAACATTTCTCACGTGTTCGCTGCTACTAATGGTTGCATTTTTCATTTAAATATGATTTTTTCCTCCAGAGTAACTTTTGAAAAGGGCGTATAAAAAATGGATTATTTTTTTTTTCAAAAAATCATAACTTGAAAACTATTGATCTGATCAAAATGACATATCAGAAGAAGTTTTAGGTAGTTAAATTATCTTTGCGGAAAAAAAACACTGAAAGAAAAACTTAGTAAATTAGTATTTAAAAAACGTAAAACGATGATTATCTCAAAACACCCCCCCTTCGATCTTTATAATTTTTTTTTTGCAAGAAAACTGAAAAAATGCCCTAATATTTGGTGAAGAGTGTATGCTGGTAACTTTCTTTAAAAAAAATCTATAGTTTTTGAAATTTTTGTTGGTTTTTACAAGTTGGTGAAATTGCATATTTTTTAGTAAAATAGTAATTTATTTGGATTCTACGCATAATTGTCAAAAACTTTGCTTCTAAAAACTTTTTTCCTAAGTCCAGCCGTTCTCAAGTTAATGCAATTTAAAAAAATAATTTTAATAATTTTCTACATTTTGGGCCATTTTCAAATGTTAGTCGTGATGTCCAGCAACGAGATGTTTTTCCATGAATATATATTAAAAACCAAACAATTCATTCTCAAATATGGTAGCTGTCAGACTTACCCGTTTCTATTTAGACGCAGCAGAAAAGAAACAAGTTTATAAGTAAATACTCTCAAATATACCCAAATAATCAACAAACCCACTCATGTGCCTTTTTTCTGTCCTCTATTAGTTGTATACCTGGATAGAATTGTGTATGTCATAACAGAGGCTCAAAACATAAACAGGTAAACAAATATGTTATTAAACCTGTAATTGAGATAAATTCTCTAGGTAGGGTTAACTACCCCATTTCCGGCCTATTAAGCACAAACCGCATTTAGTCTTTCTTAACCTAGCGCAGTTTAGCACCAAACGAAATGTTATTATTACTGATGGCTTCCAAATTTATTTACCTTTTCGTACGTACCGTAAGATTTGATAAAGAGAAACGAATCGTTGAGATATTGTCAAAAGTCTAACACTGCTTCTTGACGCCAAACTCGGCCTACGGATTATAAAGTCGGCCTAACACATTGCAACGCCATTGAAACGCCAATGAATTCACTTCGGCCTATCGGATGAAGATAAAAATTGATTCGGTCGGAGCGCTTCTTTTGTTTTTGGGAATAATGGGTGCAAACCTTCATATTACGCGTTCTCATTGACTTCGTTCGGTAGCTTATTAACTAAAGTATCGTACTAAACGCATAATTGACTTGTTAACTCTGAGATCATGGATTTATTAGAAGTTTTCTGCTCGATAGGCCCAAAATGGGCGATTAGGCCGAAGTAGTTCTCTACCCTACTTCTCTGACGTATACCATATTGTGCCTTAAGAGCTCATCCTGCGATATCACAACTACGTAAAAAGGCACCCCGTGGAGGCTTCTTACACTCACACTTAAAAAAGTTTGCTATAATCAATTGTACCTAATGAAGATAGGTATAATGTCAACATTGTAATTATTCTGCTACATATATATATATATATATATATATATATATATATATATATATTGGGACGTTCTTCACCTGTTCTGTATCCGCTGATTTGCCGCAGATCCCGCCTCTCAAGGGTGAAAAAACTGGCTGTCTACAAACAAATCATAGCACCTGCGATCCTCTATGCAGCTCCCCTGTGGGAATCATGTGCACAGACTCACAGGAACAAAATCCAAATCACTCAGAATAGAGTGCTGAGGATGGTTCTTGATCGTCCTTTCGACACTAGAATAACAAATTTACATGAAGAGGCAGGCATTGCCAAAATAGATTCCCGAATTAACGAAATTAAGACTAAATTTGCACAAAAATGTATTTTATCAGAACATGTATATAGTAGTTGTAGGTTAGTTTTAGTTGTAAATAGTAGTTATAAGTAGTCTCCTTTTTTTCAAATTTTAAACAAACCAATCCCACCAAGGTTGTCATTCTTAAAACAGGCCTGATAGGACTAAAAACTGTAATTAATAATAATTTTAATTGAAAAGGAACTAAAGCTGAAAAGACGCATCTGTGTCACTTGATAAGGTATACATGTAAACCACACAATACAAGAAATAAAGATCATTTAAGTCAAGTTCTTCACCTGTTCCATTCAGTTCATCTCTCTTAGCGTTTCAAGTTAAAAAGCAAGTAGTTTTTTACGATGGATAACAATTTCAAGTGTTGTAAACCTCTACCTAAATCAATTTCAAAGCATGACACAGTAGCAGTTCAGTTGTTTATCTCAAAATTATTAGAATTTTTAAAGTCACAAATAACAGTCCAAAAGTGTATTTTTATGTTAGATAGAGCAGCATCACAATACAAAAACATAAAAAAATTTGCTAGCCTTTGTGGATTTAAGGATAAGCATAATGTAGAAATGGAATGGCTTTTTTTTGCAACTTCACACGGCAAAGGTCCTTGTGATGCGATTGGCGGTACCCTTAAGAGAATGGCAACCAGAGCAAGTTTAGCTAAGCAACACGAGCACCCTATAACGAACCCTAAACAACTGTACGACTGGGCAAATAGTCGTAAAGAAGATCTTCAAACAAAAATGTCATTTTGTTATGTTTCTACGGAAGAATACAAAAAGGCTGACACGGAATTTGATCCAATTTTTAAGAAAGTGAAACCAATTCCTGGAACTCGAAAATATCATTGCTATATTCCAGTTTCAAACAACCAAATTGCAGTAAAAATATTCTCTAATTCAAACGATACACCCAAATTATTCAATGTATTCAAATAATATGAGTTGTAAAATAAAATAATAAATATATACTGTTTCTTATCTCAACAAATCTTTCATTTGACCACATCAACGTGCTTCTCTTCCGCTGCCTCTAGATAGAAACGGGTAAGTCTGACAGCTACCATATCTGAGAATGAATTGTTTGGTTTTTAATATACAATCATGAAATAAAATCTCGTTGCTGGACATCTCGACGAACATTTGAAAATGGCCTAATATGTTGAAAATTGTTATAATTATATATTTTTAATTCGCATTAACTTGTGAACGGCTGGACTTAGGAAAAAAATTTATATATGCAAAGTTATTGAAAATTATGCGTAAAATCCAAATAAATTATTATTTTATAAAAAAATATGCATTTTCATCAACTTGTAAAAATCAACAAAAATTTAAAAAATAATAGCTTTCTTTTTAAGAAAGTTACCAGCATACACTTTTCATGAAATTTAAGGGTATTCCATCAATTTTCTTGAAAAAAAAAATTATAAAGATCGAAGGGGGGGTGTTTTGAGATAATCATCGTTGTACGTTTTTTAAATACTAATTTACGAAGTTTTTTCTTTCAGTGTATTTTTTCCGCAAAGATAATTTAATTACCTAAAACTTCTTCTCATATGCCGTTTTGATCAGATCAATAGTTTTCAAGTTATGATTTTTTGGAAAAAAAATAATCCATTTTTTTATACGCCCTTTTCAAAAGTTACTCTGGAGGAAAAAATCATATTTAAATGAAAAATGCAACCATTAGTAGCAGCGAACACGTGAGCAATGTTTCATTCAAATCAGAAGGAGTCGAGACAAAATTGACATTTTTTTTAACGATTTGAGCTAGAAATGCTCTATGATAAAAGGGCATTTAACTCGCATTTCAATCCATGGTACCCCTTGTCGTCAGACTAAAATAAAGAAACATGTTACAAATTATTCTCACCATAAAATGTGTCTGTGATAAAATGTTCAGCCATTATACTTACAACACGAAATTGTCTCACGAAAACAAGCCCCAAGATTATAATTGGCATGTAAACACCATATTGCGTACCATTATGAGTGAGGCACTCATTTATTTTTTCATATGTGAAAATCACTTAGGGTTTACGTAAAATGCACATAGAATTTGTGTATGTGCAAATCACGTACGTTTCATTAAAAAACCCAGTGACTTTAAAGGGACTACCCGTTGATACGTATGTGGTATCACGTAGACTCTACTTGTGTCACGTAAATTTGACATAAAAGTGAAAAGAGAGACTCCACGTGATTTTTCACGTAACAATAGCGTGTCGATTATTTTGAGTGTACACTCAAAATAATGTTCACGTCAATGCTACGTGAAAACATACGTACACTCAAAATAATCGACACGCTATTGTTACGTGAAAAATCACGTGGAGTCTCTCTTTTCACTTTTATGTCAAATTTACGTGA